CCTCCACCTGCAGGGACCATGAAGCCAGGGAGGTCCTATCTCCTTCCCAAGAACAGATGTTACCGTCCATTTCCCCTCAATCTCGGGGGCTCAGGAGCCTCTCTGATGGAGTAGGGGGTACTCAGCCCCATCCCCACTGCTGGCTTGGCACCACTCAGTCCCTTCTGTGGAGACATCACAAAGCACTTTTAGTAACAAGAGTCGATAGCTCCTCCTCCACTGACCTTCCCCCACAGCTTAATGTAGGAAGGAGGCAGGTACCAGAAGGTGGCGGGGGTCAGCACAGGATAGGGCAGTTGGGTCCCAGTTTTAAGTCCTCATCTTGTAGCTGGACTCTCTCCCCACCCAATGCAGAAACCCCAGCCCCTAAACTTTGCCCCTCTCCAGGCACTGGAGGGGCCTCTAGCCCTTTATCAGATGATGGTCCCCAAGCCAGAGATACTGGGACACTCCGACCTCTCTCCCCTTTTCACTGAGAGGGTCATGGGGCCAGCCGTCAGGTGGCCAGGAAATGTGGGTTTAGGTTGGACTAGAAAAGTCTCAGGGGGAACCAGGGCCTCTATCCCTGACAGAGGGGCTCTGTCCCTGTGCCAGAGGGGCCTGCAGACGCTCTGCAGAGCTCCCCAAGACATCTCAACACCTTGAACCAGTGGTCTCAAAGTGGTGGACTGTGGGCCAAATAGGAGTGTTTAGTTTGGCCAGCATTTTTCCGAAATTTGAATTTTTGTGCCTTTTGACTAGGCATGGACTCTTCTGTTTGCCATAGTCCCCACCCCTCCCTATCGATAGCACGCCCACTCTCTTACTTTCACTACCTGAAAGCATTGCATTTTGCAACCCATGCGTCCCTGCCCTCGAACACCTTCTCCCCATTGTCTGAGGCTTCTGTGGACTCCAGGTCCAGGGGAGCTCCAAGGGAAGGACCTGAGGAACATCATTCCTTGGGAGGACACTGGAGCTGCCAGGCAAGGCCTTTCCCAAACACTCCTGGCTTCCTTGGTCCTCACTCTGAGACCTGGAGATTCCCCAGGCCTAGCCCTCCCTGCCTCTGAGCTCCCCAACTCTCATGAATGACAGTGCCTCTGGGGGTGCAGATGTAGCGGGGATCTGGCTGGGGATAAGGCAGATTTGGGGGAGGTAAAGAAGGAAGCAAATGAGAGGAGGGGACCAAGGAGTCTTCCCTTGTTGGGGAGGTCCATGCTGGGGTGGGGAGTGGAGGTCTGTTCTGAGATGGGGTAACAGTTACAAGGCACATGGTACATTAGTGCGTGGGGGTATGATGAGGTGGGGAGTGGTACCTGGAGAGGTTTGGGGAGCAGTCAGCAGTCTGGGGGGCCCAGCTTATGGGATATTGGAGGGGCAGGAATTTAAGAAAACCAAGAGAAAGAAGTCTGCCCTGGGAATGAGGACATTGGGGTTCTCCTGGGGGTGGAGATACTGAGGGCAGAGCAGGTCCTGGCATATTTGGTTCTCAGAGTGGCCTGTTCTCTTCTGCTCCTGGTAAAACTGGGACAGACCCCACCACATCTCCTCACAGGGAGATTCCTAATGCTGCCACTGACTTCGATTCTTGTGCGATCTTGGGCAAGTCCCTTCAACTCTGGGCCTCAATTGTTTCTGTATAATGTGTGTGCAGAATTCATTTAAAAAGACCAGGCTTACCGGTCTGATAGAGACTGGAGGAACCCCCAAGACTATTGTCCTAAGTCACCCTTCTGACCTGGAACTGAAGCCACTCCCGGAGGCCACCTCTCAACCAAATAATAGTCTGGTCTATAAAATAAACAGTAACATCTGTAAGGAATGTGCTTATTAGAACAACCAAGTATATGAAACCAAAATGGCAACATTTGCCCAAAAACAAAGATGAGAAGGCAGGGAGGGGCAAGGAGACTGGGTGAATGGAGGTGGGGACCCCAGGGTGGAAACGGGGAGAGCACTGACACATTGCAGAGATTGCAACCAATGTCATGGAACAATCTGTGTATTGACTATTGAATGGAAATCGAATTTGCTGTGTAAATTTTCACCTAAAGCACAATGTTGTTGTTGTTGTTGTTATGTGCCGTCGAGTCGGCCCCGACTCATAAATGTTCAAAATTATAATCATGGGATAGTGGGTGTACAGGGCAAGTGGCCCCAAGGACCCCATAGGCTTCTCTGGGCTGTGGCTCAGAGACCCTCTCTCAACATCAGGACCCTGTAGGGATTCTGCAAAGGAGTGAGCATCAGGCTGGGATGGAGATGAGGAGTGGGGAGCAGGAGGAAGGGACTGCACGGGTCAGGTTCTGGAAGGGAAGAGAGAACAGCTGAGGTAGCTTGTGTCAACAGAAGGGAAAACAAAAGGACGGCTTGAGCAGGGGATGCCCCCTTTTCCCACCCTGACTCCTCTATCCCAGTGAACAAGGGGGCCTACAGGAACAATATGAAGTGTGGGGCCTGGTCGGGGGAGGGAGACCTCAGGCCTGAGAGAATGGGGTCCTGAGCTCCGGGGTAGAGTGTCCTCAAAGGACTTAGCACTTTCCTGAGGGTGAAGGTGCCAGCAGAGCCTCCTAGGACCTTTTAACCATGATCATTTCTAGAGCTCTCATGTCCTTGTTGACAGGGGCTGTGAGGGAAGGTTTTGTGGGTTTGAGAAATGTAGGGAGGAGTGGAGTGAAGTCCAAAAATGTGGCTATGGCTTCCCTGCAAACCTCAAGCCATGCTTAGCACTGCCAGTTCTTTCTTATGCCTTGGGAGTCTCCTGTAAGGGACTCCTAGCTCCTAGGAAGGACATTTTGAAACTTCTCATTCTAGAATGCTGGACAGTGGGTATCCAGATAGGCCATTCTAGGACACTGGAAAGTAAAATAACTTGCCAAGAGTGACCCTCATGTTTCCTCTCTGAGCCTCAGTTTCTCTCATCTGTAAGATGGATTGATAACACCTCATATCATAGGCACAGGAGAGTTTAAGTGAAACAACGTGGGTGGGAATTCTGGCACAAAGTCAGCCCTGGAGAAAGAGCTAGATATGGGATCACAGCCTCAATGCTCCTGTCTCACAAAGGGCTTTGATGTGTGTGTAACAGGCCACGGAATTTGGTCTCTGAAGACAAATTTGGGCAGAGGGCAAGGAGGGTGGGTGAACCCACCAAAGTGGTTCTGGGTCAGTCTTGGGATTTCTCCCAACACCTATCACTCTTGAGGTTTCTTAGGGGAGGAGGGAGGTGGAGGAATAAAAAGAAAAGCATTCTTTATGTGTTGGTGGGAGAGACACACACTGCCTTGGCCTGTGTGGGTGTCTATCGTGTGCCTGTGGTGCCGGGGGTGTGGGGTGACTTGTATTCCAGGTGTGATGTATATGGTTGCGTGTGTGTGGACAGTCCTGCCCTCTCTGCCTTTGAGGTTATTCTGCACCCTGAGTGTGGTCCACTCCTGCATCCTTGGCAATTCACCATCACCCCTTACCATTTGATGGCACAGCCAGGAGTCTGGGACCTTCTGAGAGCAGCTGCCACTCTGGGCCTCAGTTTCCCATCTGCAACCTCAGGGAGGCTGAACCAGCAAGGGCTAAGCGCCCCTCTAATTTGCATAGTCTAAGGTTCTCACTGCCCACCTCACCTCCCAGCCCAGATCCACATCTGTTATTAACATTACTTGATGCCCCTTCCCAGTGAATGCTATTAGTTGGCATAGGGGAATAGAGAGATGGATGGGGTGTGTTCTAAGCTCTGCCTAGACACTCTGTCCCCTCAGCCCACAGAAACTGCTGACTTCCTTGCTCCTACACCCAACACCCCATTCAGGACTGCTCATTCCAGGTGGGGGGAGGACCCCTGGCTGAGTGGTCCCATGGGCATTCCAGGATGTTCAGGCCATGGGAATGGACCACAGGTCCTGGGGAGCTGTCTGATTTGAGGCAAAACAAGTCAGTTTCCCAGATGCCGCCCCAGGGAGCCCCAGCTGCAGGGTGGCTGGGAGCCAGGATTCATGTCATGTCCCCAGTGCTAATTCTTTCCAGCTGGGAAACAGTTAGCAGCTGAAATGCCTCAAGGGTTATGAGGACAATTTTCTCTTGGGAAGATAGCTGTGGACCAAGGTGGACAGGGGGCTAGAACTCCCATAAACCCCAGAAGTCTAGAACTGGAGTACCCATTTTCCCAGAATGCTCCACTCTACAGCTGGCTGGGTTCTAGAGCTGGCCCCCACCCTCTGTGGCAGGATCTAGAATACACATAGCAGAGCAGCAAGTGTCCTGCCTTTTATAACAGCATCCAGATCCAAGAATGACTCCCTAGGACATTTTACCAGCAGCACATTCTAGAACTTAATCTAGAACTAAGCATGTCTCTCTAGAATAGCTCCTCTGCCAAGTGTGCTAGAACTTCATCTATAATTGAACCCAGACAGAGTATCTTCCTAGAACGTTTTATCTGCTTAACGTTCAAGACCTTCACCTGGAGAAATGTTGTGGATGCTTGTCTAGAACAAAGAATGGCTCTTTGAAACATTTCATCTGAGGTGTCTAGAGCCTCATCCATAGCAGAGCTCACATTTTTGGAACATACTTGATGCTCTGGATCACAAGTTCCCTCTCCCAAATCTTCGACCTCTTCTGGCCTTTGCCAGCCTGGACCCATCAGATGTCTCAGGGTTCTCTTTCTCCTGTCCATCTCCAACAATGTCAGTACCCCCCAACTCCCCACCCCATCCCAACTCCCTCCTTCAATTCCCCTCTTTCCCAGTTTCAGCCCTCAGCCCTCACAGGAACTGTACCAACCCCATAACAAAATGCTCCAGCCTCACTCCACATCTTCCATGGCTTCCTCCATCCTTCTCAGAAATCTCCTCCAACCATAGAGGTAACCCATTGCCCAGACCTCCCCACCCCAAGAGCACAGGGCTGAGGTCATGGAATCCAGACAGTGCCTTTCCTCTAGCGAGTCCACCAAGGCTGACATGTGGGCAATGCCAGGCAGAGGAGAGGATGTGGGGTCCTCAGTACCAGATGTCATGTCATGGAGGCCACCATATGAGTGGTGAGCTCATGATGAGTGTAGCACCAGTTGATTCCCCGGGCCCTGATTCAGGGGACTTTAGGGGATGGGCCCCAGGGCTGAAAAAAGAGCCTAGGGCTGGAGCCTCCACCAGACTTCCCCTCCTCTGAAAGACCCAATGGCAGGGCCACTCTACACTTGGGCCAACAGATCCACCCCCCACCTCAGCCTGGCAGCCCTGGAATTCAGGGCTCAACACTGTGGTTGATGTGGGATCAGCCAAGTCTGTCCCTTTTGGAGGGGAAGACTGGCCTACACTGTGGTCTCATACTCCAACAACTCCTGAGAGGTCCCCACACTCCGGTACTGCAACCGGGGCGTGGTGGGAGAGGAGTACTCCAGCGCCAGGATGGTCTTCCGGAGCCGGCGGTCAATAAAATGAGCATCCCATGCCGGGTACTTCTTACGGGGCAAGTCAATCCGAATCACAGGCCCCTCTGTCCGCAAGGTGCGGGTCACTGGTGTAACAGGCAAGCCAGGTCGCACCTGGAAGACAGGTGGTGTAGGGGTCCCAGCCCGCTCACCCCCTACTGAGGCCCCATCCCGCTCTGCACCTGTAGTCCTTGGCAGAGACCTCGGGGGACTTGTGACAGTGTCAGCTGGCGGGCCACAGGACGCTGAGGCCTCAGGACAGATGCAGCCAGGTGCCTGAGGGCCCAGCATGGGCCCATTGGGGTGCAGGAGGCAGTAGTAGACACACATGAAGAATATGCCCAGTGCGAAGCTGGAGGCCACCACACAGACCAAGATGAGTGAGCGGAAGTCGGGGGCGAAGTTGCGGCTGGAGTACCAGAAGCCAGTGAGTACGGCGTTCTCAAGCATGACAATGCAGTAGTAGAGGGTCATGCGGCGGCGGCTGCGGCCTTCCTTGACATTGAACCAGCAGAAAATGTAGATGATGCCCACCACCATGTTGTAGATGATCTCTTCCCACTTGGACATGCAGAAGTCCGTCTCACCCTGGATGACCCAGAAGGTCATGATGCACCAGTGAGCCACAATGAAGATGCCAAAGTAGAGCTTGTAGACGCTGGCAAAGAGTGCGAAGGCCAGGCCACGCGCTGCGATGGTAAACAGGTGCCACAGCACTTGGACCACGGCACCCTTGTAGGACAGCGGTCGCTTGTCATCCCGTGAGTCCCGCAGCACCTTCTGGTAGGAGGCCAGGGTCCAGGCCAGGGACAGGAGGGAGGCAAAGGTGGAGATGACTGTGGAGACAGGGCAGGTGCAGGGTGGGCTGGGTTAGGGGTGGGTCTGGGTTGGGGTCTGCGGGGGCAGGGGTCTGGGTCAGGAGCTGAGTTCTTAGGAGGAAAGAGGGAAGGGTCTGTGAATCTGAAGAGGTGTGAGGAGATCTGGGTCAGGTGGTCTTCAAGAACAAGGATGGAGGTGGTGGACTGGTTGGGACTTCTGTGAAGGTGGGAGCTAGATGGTTTTGGTCTTCATAAGGGTCAGTCTAGGTCTCTACTATGGGGCTGTTAGGGTTCAGGGATCTTGGTGGGAGGGAAGGGGAAATTAGGGTTCAGGACTATGGGAGTGGAAGAGGCAAAGAAGGGGAGCATAATTAGGGCATGGAGGAGTCAGGAGGGGACTAACAGAATTTATGGGTGACAGGATGAGGCTGGGGTATGGAGAGGGGTACTCCTGAGCTGAGCTGATAATGCGGGCTGAGGACAGGGACAAGCCAGGGTTCTAGTATTGCCCAGTACCTTGGGCCAGGAGTCCTCAGGGGACCCGAGGATGGTGATAGAACCTTTCTGAACACAGAGGCTGTCTCCACAGCCCTCTCCAACACTGGGTAGCTGGGTGGGAACTCAGGGTGCTCCAGGGAGAGGTGGTTTTCTGGATACTGAGGGGGTGGGCCTGGTCTACCAGAGTTCTGGAAGGGGCAAGGTGTGGGGTGTGCAAAGCCTGTTAGGCAGTGTATGGGGACCAGGACCAGGCCTGAGGAGCCCCCAAGGGGCTCAAATAGAGTGGAAAGGTTTCCTGGATACTGACAATGGAGCAGAGCGATCCCCAGGAAACAGTTTGGGATCAAGACCCCTTAGAGAATGGACAGGCAGGGATTCGCAGGTGATGGGGTACAGGGAAGGTCCTCTCTGGACGTGGCAGAAATGTCTGATTTGCCCAGGCAATGGCAAACGGTGGCGGGCGGGCGGGCGAGGGCAGGTTCCAGGCCAGGGCTCTGCCGAGCCTGGGGGCAGGGAGGCGGAGGGGCGGGGCTCACCCGGAAGCTGCTGGAACGCGTTGGTGTTATTATCGCTGTCGCTGTCGCTGCGGTGCAAGAGAAGGCTGAGCTGCAGCACGAGCTGCGGCGCGCTGCGCAGGAAAGTCTCCAGCAGGCGCAGCATGCTCACGTCGGCGCTCTCGAACAGCATCCGCCAGTAGAAGTGGCGCTGCAGCCGCTCCCCGCGCCAGCGGCTCTGCAGCCCCAGGTACAGGGCGCGCAGGTACCTGCGGGAGGCACACCGCGCTCAGGCTCTCACGCACACGTCCTCTCGCCCCTCCCACCCACCGCAAGCCACGCTGCCAGTGCTCAGCGCGTGGCCCTGGGCAAGTCACTCGCTGCCTATTTCCTACTCTGTAAAACGAGCGCATGGAAAGGACCACCTCGTGGGGCTGTTGGGAGCACGGAATAGGATCATTGGCTTAAAAAGACCCAGGCACACAGTGAGCTGTCACTACAATATCAGTAAACTCATTAATCCTGGGGGAGGGGGGCTTGTGTGCTGCTTTTTTGGCAGGGTTCCTGACACCCTCATGGCGACCCCATGTGGGTCAGAGTAGAAACGTGCTTCATAGGGTTTCCAATGGCTGATTTTTCAGAAGTCGATCGGGGCCAAGCCTGAGCTGCCTCAATAGGCTTATCATCTGATCCCCATTTTACAGATGAGGAAAACGAGCCCTAGTGGTGCAATGATTAAGCAATAGACTGCTATCTGAAAGGCTGGTGGTTCCAACCCACCCAGCTGCTCCACGGGAGAAAGACCTGGCAATTAGCAGATACAAAGATTATAGTCAAGAAAACCCTGGGAGGGGGGCAGTTCTACTCTCTCACATGGGGTTACCATGAGCTCAAAATTGACGTGAGGGCACCTAACAACAACACAGATGAGGAAGCAGGCACAGAGAGACATGCCCCTTGTCCAAGGCCACACAGCTAGGAAGCAGTGGAATTAGGAATGAAACCCAGGCGGTCAGACCTCGGGGGCCACAATCTAACCATTATACCACACTCCGCTTACTGTAAGTCTTAAGAGCTTTGCCCACACGAGGGTGCCTGCTCCCAGCTCCTGGAGGGACTAGGCTTCAGAGAGTCCCTGGTGCCAGCTCGCAGTTCTGGTGCCTCCAGCAGCTTCCTGGCCCGCTCCCTGACCCCATCTTGGAGTGCCCCGTACTCAGTGCAGGGCACAGACAAGGTGCTCAGAGACGCCTTCCCTTGGCTCTTGAGACTTTGCTGCTCGCCCCTTGCCACTTTTCCCAACCAGCCTCATGGCCCCAAGCACTCTGCACAAGCCCCGGATCCTGAGGCTCCCACTCTATCCCTCACCTGAGCTGCGCATCTGCACCTACTGTTTCCCACCTGGACACACTGCCTGGTCCCCCAGCCCCAACCCACCCCCATATCTAGAGAACTCTTTCTTTTATTCCAGTGCTTGGCTTTTAGACATGATTTCTTCCAGGAAGCCTTTGCTTGCTGCCCTTCCAGCTGGGGTAGGAGTCCCTGGGTGGCATAAATGGTTAAGCTCTGGGCTGCTAACCAAAAGGTTGGTGGTTTGAACTCACCCAGAGATGCCGTAAAAAAAAAAAAAAAAAGCCAGTGATCTACCTCTGAATGATCACTACCATGAAAACCCCACGGAGCACAGTTCTACTCGGCAACGCGTGGGGCCGTCTGAGTCAGAAGCGACTCCATGGCAACTGGAGGTTCCTGCACCTGGCGTAGTGGCTAAGGAAGGCACTTGACTGCTAACCAGAAGGCTGGCCGTTCAAACCCACCAGCCACTCCTCAGAAGGAAGATTGGGCAATCTACTTCCGTAGATATATTGCCTCAGAAACCCCAAGAGGGGTCGCTATGAGTCGAATCGACTCAGTGGCAGTGAGTTTTTTTACTAACCTAAAAAGGAGTTCTGGTGGCACAGTGGTTAAAGTGGTTAAAGCACTCAACTGCTAACCAGAAGGCTGGCAGTTTGAACCCATCAGCTCCTCCATGGAAGAAAGATGAGGCAGTCTGCTTCTGTAAGGATTTATAGCCTTGGAAATCCCATGAGGGAAGTTCTATTCTGTCCCCTAGGGTCACTATGAGTCAGAATCGAGTTCATGGCAGTGGGCTTGACTAACCTGAAGGTCAGTGGTTTGAACCCATCCAGCTGTGCTGAGGAAGACAGTCCTGGCAATCAGGTTCTGAAAGATCCCAGCCATGAAAACCCTCAGAAGGGCAGTTTACTTCGCAACACATGTGGCTGCCATGAATCAGAACAGACTCAATGACAACTGGTTTGGCTTGGTTGCCCAGCTTGGGAAGAGGCCTCTCCTGGGTTTCCCTATAACCCAGCAGTTGTCACACTGGGTTGTAACTGCCCAGTTATGAACCCAACTGTCTCCTCCACCAGACAATGGTAGATTGTGAGTGCCATGAGAATGACTAGGTTTGATTGCTCAACCACCATTGTACCCCAGTACTTAGCTTCATACGTGATGGCTGCGTGTATGTGCACATGGGACCCTGGAAGCTCTGTAGGTTGTACGGAAATGATTCTGAAGTCCTGAGTTCAAATCTTGACTTTGCCTCTAATTTACTGTGTGATCTTGAGCAAGAACATTACCCTCTCTGAGCCCTAGTTAATCCCTCTCCAGGTGGCTATCAGGTTTAAATGGCTGAGAAGATATTTAGCAAATTGTACAGTACAGTACCCACCCATGTTAGATGAGATAGGACATGTCCACATTGGCTCTGAGTCTGATCTCCCCTCTCAGTCCTGGTCCTTACCCAGCAGCTCCACCCCTGGCTGTTGCAGCCACAGACTTCCCCAGCCTCAGCCCCTCACACTCTCTGGTTCACGGTGCAGACATGCTCTTTGCTGAAAGGGTTTCTCCAAGAGTGACCTCCCCAGTACACTAGGAGAGAAAAATCCTAACACAGACCTTGTTGCCTGAATCTGAAATTGGGATCTCTTTCCAGATGTGAAGTGCTGGCATTTCTGGGATATTGTTTGGGAACAGGGGACCAACCAGATGGATATTAAACCGTGTGTTGCCAACCAAAGGAAGAAACTGCTTTGCTCCCTGGCATTCAGGACTAGCTGATACCCAGAGTTTCCCCCAAATGAGTACCAGACCTTAGCCTGTTTTACCACTGACAAAGAGGGATGGGCTTAATGACACTGGAGGTGGAGATCCTTTCAGAGCTAAGGTTCTGGGACCCAAACTCAGCTCTCCACCAAATGTGGCAAAAAAAATGTCTCATTAGGTCCCTGGGCAGTGCAGTTTGCAGTCAACTACTAACTGAAGGCTGGCAGTTCGAACTCACCCAGCAACAGCATGGAAGAAAGGCCTGCCAATCTGTTTCTATAAAGATACAGCCAAGAAAGCACTGGAGAACAGTTCTACTCCATGACACAGGGTGGCCATGAGTCTGAATCGACTGTACAGCAACATGGTTTTATGCTTTTTGGTTTCCTCATCCCTGGGCTCTCTGGGCACCAATGGATGGTGTAAATACACCCTGAACATGACCAATACGGGGTGGTGCCAGCATGAGAAGGGCTGCTCCCCCAGAATCTGACTCAGGAAACAGAGGCCACTCAGTCTTACTCTCCCACCCTGCGCTTGGGTTCCTTCAGTAGTGTGCAGCCCCCTGTGTGCACACCATCCATTCACACACTTCCTAGGACGAGGCGTCCCTGCCTCTGGGGGCCGGACCTTCAGCTTCTGAGCAGCTCCAAGGCTGCACTGTTTTTTGGTGGATGAGCAGAAATTTGTCCCTGCCTTCCCTGCTGATCCTACATAAGGATTTCTGCAGCCAGAGGTTGAAGGCTGGATTCATCTATTCATGTAGCAGGCATCCTTGGAGCATCTGCTCTGTGCCAGGCCCTGTGACCTTCCATATCTCACAGTCCCACAGAAGAGAGACAAGATAAGAGCTGAAATGTTTGCTACCAGATGCTGTAGAAGAGAAGAGATGGGAATTTTACCTTGGGGAGGGGGTCCGGGAAGGCTTCCTGGAGGAAGAAGCATTTGATTTTGGTTTTAAAACATGGGTAGGCATTTGAAGGCATACAAGAGGTGGAAGGGCGTTCCAGGCAGAGGACTCAGCTGATGCAAAGGCAGAGAGGCATAAGAAAACATTCTTCTTTGGAGAATGGCCTGGAGGGAAGAGTTTTAGTGGGCAGTGGCCTAAGACACTGGAATTCTGAAGGGCATCAGATTCTGAGCCAAGAGATTCAGATTTTATTCTAAATCAGAATTTTATCTCAGAATCTGGGGTGATGTGATCAGCTTGCTGGCTCGGAAAGCTAGCTCTGGAGGCTGGCTTGGAGGAAAGCCAGGGGAGGCTGGGGTCTGATCCAGGCTTGAAATGACAGACAGGCTGATCTCAGGCAGGGGCTAGAGGAGGGGCAGAGAGCAGAGCTGGGGGGAGGGGGGTGTTGTCAGGTGTGGGGGGTTGGAGGAGATGCCAAGATGCTCCTCCCAGAGCTTCTGAGGGCCCCAAATACAAACCACTTCCCCCAGCTTCCATCCTCCCTGCTCCATTCGCTTTCCCATTCCCGTGGCTCTGGCTTCAAACAGGAAGGAGAGACCAGCTGGTCCAACTTGAAGGGGCCTGGGGAGTTGGGGGGAGGGCGACACCCTGAAGTTTCTCTCAGGCTGGAAGACCATCTGTTTCCAGGCCTGGGTCAGCATGAGGGAGGCCCCGTCCGGCCAGCATCCATCACCACCTGACAAGGCCTCCCTACTTCCCCGCCCACTCTGCCCCCTCCTCTGCCAGCTCCCAATGCCCCAGCTCCAGACAAAGAGCTCACACAGCCCAGAAATGAATGGGGGCTGGAATAGCAATGGGGAGAGGGGGACAAAGGAGGCCCCTGAGCCCCAAGAACATGGGGTCAGCAGGGAGCGTAGAGAGATCATGCTGCAGACTGAGGATGAACGGCCTGGGTTCACCTTCTCTCTGCCTCTTTTGGCAATGGGACCAACACCTTGGCTGTTCTGCCCAGTCGGTGCTAACGGCTCGCTGCCAAGGGCCTGTGAGATTTTCATGGGCCTCAGAAAATGTTTGAGCCTGGCAAAAATAAAATTGGCTCCAAAAACACAGGGAACAATGGCAGATTCAAAATTAATAAATGTTTAATTAAATGTCTGCAAAACAGAACATGATGTCAGCCAGTCAACTGCAATTTGGCTTTTATCTGATTATATATAATTTACATTTGATGTTTGATGTCGCTACATTTTA